GAAACACACAGCGTCTTCACAACATGGCGGCAGTGGCAGCAACAATAAAGTTACACCTTCTTTCTTTGCGTGAACATTTGGGCGGCGTTATGCAAATCTTCCCACATCATGACGTAGACGTGTGGGGGTGTGTTTAAACGAGGCGTTTTAGGAGGGCGTGGACGAGTTAACTTTTATAAAGAATATCTCTTTGGGTTTGAGACTTTAGTCTTTGCAACTTTAGGGATCTTATCTATTCACGGACAGCTTGTAACACTCCAAAGAGAAAGGAAAACTTGAAATCGCATCATATGACCTTGATGATCTTTAAGGCATCATAGGAAATATGTATATAATGTCCTCTATTTTTTTTCCAACAGGACTTTGTGTTTTATGCCCAGCGTTTACGCATTAATAAGAGGGTTCTGGCCCTGTGCATGGGGAACCATGAGCTTTATATGAGACGCCGTAAACCCGACACCATTGAGGTCCAGCAGATGAAAGCACAAGCCAAGGAGGAGAAGAACCACAAGAAGATGGAAAGGTGAGAGGGGAAAAAAAGCTACAGAGTAACACCACACAAAGGCTCTGATATTAGGTCAGGATTGTGATTATTGGTGTTAATTTGGATTCATTGCAGTGATTTAAATATGTTGATTCTGCTCACCAAAAGGATTCGTACAGATGCGATTCATTATGTGACGACTTCTGTATGTTACATCCTTACACCATTAGATGGCAACCAGTTAATGTGTCTGTCTACTTATAAGTGACTCATTTAGTGATTAAACAGATTCATTCACAAACTTTGTGTCACCATCGACCAAATTAAGTCTTATTGTTTTGTATAAAATGTTCACACATTTTATAAATTCGGATCATTCTGTCCCATTTATCTTCTTGTAGAACAAGAGTGACTTGTTTGTTAATTTAGTTCACAAACAATATGTTTGCTGTTGAACGTTCAGTACTCCTTTAGGTCTTGTTCAGACTTAGGCTGAATTTGCTCAGTATGTCCAGCAGAAAAATAATGATTTGTTCGCTTAAAAGATTTTGATTGTTTGAAGCATTTATCAGGCACAGTAGGAGCAAGCCTACACCTTAAGACAATAGTAAGTGTTTATATTTGAGTGTTGTGTTGATAGATGAATGGTTGTATGTTTAGATTAGTTCATTGTTCAGTGTTGGGCACTTCACAGTGCCAGGAAGGACATGTTCTTCTAATACATCTGTCTGTGTGTTTCAGGGCCATGCTGGAGGATGAACGTAAGAAGAGAGAGCAGGCTGAGAAGGAGAAAGAGAAGATTGAAAAAGAAAAAGAGGAGCTGATGGAGAGACTCAAAGTGATAGAGGAACAGACGAGAAAAGCTCAGCAAGGTGACATGGAGTGAAGTTTGCTCTTTTTTTTCTTCTTCTCTTCATTAATGATCATTAATCATTCATTATTTTGCGTGGGCAGAGCTGGAGGAGCAGACCCGCAGGGCGATGGAGTTGGATCAGGAGCGTAAATGTGCTCAGGAGGAGGCGGAACGCCTGGAACGGGAGCGCCACCTGGCAGAGGAGGCCAAAGCGGCTCTGCTGCATCAGTCTGAGAGCCAGATGAAGAACCAGGAGCATCTGGTCAGTTAACGTGACTACCAAGATACACATTGCCAGCCACCATGGCAGCACAATTCTAGTCACCATGACAGCTTCACAATAACACTTTAAGTAGGTTACAGTTGTAACTATGGTAACAAAACTACAATTATGAAGTTTCCACGAGAACCAAACATCCTCTAACCACAGAACGCAGGACACCCATGAGATCTTCTTCCCATGAGATTCTGAGTATATGTATGTATATATGTGTGTGTATACAGGCAACTGAACTGGCAGAGTTGACTTCTAAGATCTCCCTGCTTGAAGATGCCAAAAAGAAGAAAGAGGAGGAAGCATCAGAGTGGCAAATGAAGGTAAACATGGTTACTTGTTAGTAGGTGCACTGCAGAAGTTTATTGTAGAATGAGCTAGTTAGTAAAAGATCTGTCTATCCATCTATCCACACCATTGTGCAGAAATAGAAACCACACAACCGGGAAAATGACTTGAGGTCAGTCACTCATGTTAAGACAAAAATGAATGTGGAAGAGATGTGATTTATTATTTTATGCTTTTATCACCATATGCCTTTTCAGGATATTGTTAAGATGGATATATAACTTAAAAATTAGTATTTTACAGCTTTGGCAATTTTCAGATTTTTTATTAAGTTATTAAAGAAAAGCACATAAGCATCTCAAGGCACAATACAAGTATCAAACTGTTACAGAATCAAGAAAGTGAAAACTCTCTCTCTCTCTCTCTCTCTCACACACACACACACATGTCTCACTTGAAAGAAATACTGGAGGAGTTCAGTAAAGAGAAAATAGAACGGTTATCTGGTCAAGGTACAGTGACAGAAACAGTTGCTTTCAGAAAAATGATATATTTTGCAACAATGTTGAAGAAACTGGTGTATAGTAAAATACAATATGAAAGTAATACGTGTTTCATATAATTATTAAAATTATTAATTAGAACTATTCTAATTAGAAGTCAGAAAGAGCTTTAGCCTTTATTAACAAGTATGTTTACACACACAGAGAATTTGACTTGATCACAGGAGCTTCCAGTGCAGAAGAAATTACGGACATAGTGCAACATACATGATAGTGCAGACATACATAGGAATAACACAGTAAAGATGGAAAATAACACTAATAACTAATTACATGTGTTTATTTTCTTAGTAACATACATCGACATTATTTCCAATAATGAACCCAGGACTAGGGAGGAATTCCTACAGTGTTGAAAACATTGAAAACACACACACACACACACACACACACACACACACACACACACACACACACACACAGAAAAAAAAAAATCCAGAAACTGCCTCCTTAACGAGTTCCAGAAAGGGGCTCCAAGATTTTATAAAAAAGATCAGGTTTCATTCAAACTCCAAATTTAATCTTTTCAAGTTTGAGGGTAAAAAGTAGGTCAAAAACCCATTGACAATAAGTTGGAGGAGATGGCAGCTTCCAATTAGACAATTTTGTCAGGAATATTTAATCATTTAAATAAAATAAAATAATTATGTACACCCATATAAACATATATTTTAATACACTTCTTTCAGATTAAAAATCTTTCAGATTATACGTTTTAAATGGGTTAAAGAAAAAATATACAGTATGTAAAAATTTGGGGACAGTAATTTTTTTAAAGAAATGAATACATTTATTCAGCAAGGATGCAATAAATTGATCAAAAGTGACCGAAAAGATATTGTTACAATAAATTTGTATTTCAAATAAATGCTGTTTCTATTCAACCTGGAAAATGCATCACAGTTTCCCTAAAAATATTAAGTAGCACAACTGTTTTTAACATTGATAATACTAAAGTGTTTCTTGAACACCAAATCAGCATATTAGAATGATATCTGAAGTATCATGTGAACACTAAAGACTAGAGAAATGGCTGCTAAACATTCAGTTTTGCCATCACAGGAATACATTTATATTCATGCTGTATTTGCGATCAACGGCATTTTATACACTTTAAAATATATGTGCAATATTCTAAAGCATATAAAAAGCTGTTGACCTTCTGTAAACCGGTTTTTGAATTTAATCTGTGATGTGGACAGTTTGAAAGAAATGATTCAATGGAAATGGAAATCATAATTAAACTTCCTAAATCTGCCTGCATTTTCTGCTTTTTGAGGTTTAAATCCACAATGCTGTTAAAATGATGTCTGTCATAATAGTATCATGCTTGTGGTACAAGCACAGTCTTTATTGACCAAATAAAAAGCACATTAAATATCATCACAAAATTAATAACTTTTATATGGCCTAGATAGATCATGGTGTGAATTTTGTGTGGTGATTGTTAATGCAGTGCTGTGTGTCTCTTCCAGGCCACTCTGGTGCAGGAGGACCTGGAGAAGACTAAAGAGGAGCTGAAGAACAAAGTTGTGTCAGCCCATGTTCCAGAGCCCGTGCATGGCGAAAACGACAACGACGATGATGAGAGCAGTGCAGAGGCCTCCGAAGAACTCACCTCCGCAGCGGCCTATAAAGACAGGAGTGAGGAGGAGCGCATGACAGAGGCTGAGAAGAACGAACGAGTCCAGAAACATCTGCTGGTGAGAGAACTACTTCACAATAGGATTTTTAAAAGGATAATTCATCCAAAAATAACACTTCACTTTGTCATATTTTTAAAGGGATAGTTCACCAAAAAATGAAAATTCTGTCGTTAATTACTTACCCTCATGTCGTTCCAAACCCGTAAGACCTTTGTTCATCTTCGGAACACAAATTAAGATATTTTTTATCAAATCCGAGAGCTCTCTGCCCCTGCACAGAGGTAACTAATATGTTCAAGGCCTAGAAAGATAATAAGGATATCGATAAAATAGTCCATGTGACATCAGTGGTTTAACCCGTAATCTTATGAAGCTACGAGAATACATTTTGTGCGCAAAGAAAACAAAAATAACGACTTTATTCAACAATTCTTCTCTTCTGGGTCAGACTCCGCTGCCATTCATGAGAGTACCACGACGCATGCACTGCGCTTTGTTTACAAGCAGAGGAATGCACATGCATGAGTCATGGTACTGTCGTGAACGCACAGCAGAGAATGACCCGGAAGAGAAGAAACAGTTGAATAAAGTCATTGTTTTTGTTTTCTTTGCACACAAAAAGTCTTCTCGTAGCTTCATAAAATTTTGGTTGAACCACTGATGTCACATGGACTATTTTGATGTCCTTACTAACTTTCTGGACTTTGAACGGTAGTTCCATCTATGCAGTGTCGGAAAGCTCTTGGATTTCATCAAAAATATCTTAATTTGTTTTCCGAAGATGAATGAAGGTCTTACGGTTTTGGAACGACATGAGGGTGAGTAATTCATGTCAGAATTTTCATTTCCCTTTAACCATTATATTCCAAACTAATTTGACTTTTGTTTCGTGTGGAACAAAAAAGGAGGTATTTTTCAGAATATCCAAGCTGCACTTTGTCAATAGAGAAAGTAGACACCCATGATTAGCCTATAATAAAGGCTTTATCAGTGGAAATTTACTTTGAACGGGGAAAAAAATGAAAAATCTTCTTTTTCCACAGACTCTTAGTTCTGAGCTTGCTAATGCTCGTGACGAGACCATGAAGACCCAGAACGACATTATCCACGCAGAGAATGTACGAGCAGGACGAGATAAATACAAGACGCTTCGTCAGATCCGCTCTGGAAACACCAAACAGCGAATCGATGAGTTCGAGTGCATGTAAATGTACCGCAGTCAGCCAACAGGGGGAGCTACAGCCTGCCTTTTGCATCATTCCTGCAGAGGAACTACAGTACCCACAATGCACCACTCCAACAGAAAATAAAGCCAAATATAGAATAATGCTGCACAGTTCAAAAATCCCTTTAATTCAGGAGTGTTGTTTGGGTTACTGCATTATGATAACTTTTAGTTATAGTTTCTCACTGCTGCAGGTTTGTGGCCGCTCCCTGTTTGTGCCTTTTCACTGAAGAGAAAATATCAAACTGTATTTTTAGTTTAGTTTTTAAACCTATTCTTATTTTAAGCTTTTTTTTTTTTTTTTAAAGAAGAGACTTTGTTTTTTGAGGCATTTGAATTTTTTCGCAGTATTATTTTAAAGAATCCTTTAATAGAATGACACTTAAAAAGCATCTTCTGGGATTGAATTTCTCCCTTTATTTCTGAACAGTATTTACCCAGAGTGTACACCGTTTTGAATAGCCCTGCACTTGTAGGCAGTGCCTCAGTTGTTTTGTGATCTATATTAATTTTATTTTTATTCATGTGGCAATATGCTGCACTGAAGCAATATGTCCCCAGCTGCTTTGGAAGAATTCTTCATTTGGATCTTACTCTTGGATACTTTTTAAACTGTTTTGATATACAAGAACATGGATCGCCTGATTAAAAATATGAAGCTTGTTCTGATCTCATACAGCGTTCTTGTTACCTGGGCGATTTCCTGCCTTGAGGGTGCAAGGTTTTTTTTTTTTTTTTTAATTGTCAACCAATCACAGAAAAGATTGCTGCTTAAAACATTTTCATTGCAACTGTCAATAAAATACATTAAAAAAAAAACACCAATTCATTGGCTAGTGTTGTTACTCGTTCTTCAGTTGTTTAGTGATAGCATGTGTGCATTATTGTAAGCAGATATGGTCTGAAAATGCAAGCTATGTTTAGAACAGATCACTATCAAAATAGTTATTGATATTTGCCAATATAAAGCTATTATTAAAAACGCGTGTGTGTGTCATCATCCTCCACACACACACAGCGCGGGTAAAATAAGTATGGAACACTTCATTTTTCTCAGTAAATATTTCTAAATGTGCTGATGACATGAAATTTGCACCAGATGTCAGTAACAGCCCAAGTAATCCATACATACAAAGAAAACAATACAAACAAGTTCAGAAATTAAGTTATGTGGAATAAAATTAAATTTGACATGGACATGTTATTATGATTTCATCAAAAATATCTTAATTTGTTTTCCGAAGATGAATGAAGGTCTTACGGTTTTGGAACGACATGAGGGTGAGTAATTCATGTCAGAATTTTCATTTCCCTTTAACCATTATATTCCAAACTAATTTGACTTTTGTTTCGTGTGGAACAAAAAAGGAGGTATTTTTCAGAATATCCAAGCTGCACTTTGTCAATAGAGAAAGTAGACACCCATGATTAGCCTATAATAAAGGCTTTATCAGTGGAAATTTACTTTGAACGGGGAAAAAAATGAAAAATCTTCTTTTTCCACAGACTCTTAGTTCTGAGCTTGCTAATGCTCGTGACGAGACCATGAAGACCCAGAACGACATTATCCACGCAGAGAATGTACGAGCAGGACGAGATAAATACAAGACGCTTCGTCAGATCCGCTCTGGAAACACCAAACAGCGAATCGATGAGTTCGAGTGCATGTAAATGTACCGCAGTCAGCCAACAGGGGGAGCTACAGCCTGCCTTTTGGCTGATGACATGAAATTTGCACCAGATGTCAGTAACAACCCAAGTAATCCATACATACAAAGAAAACAATAACTAAAGTTCAGAAATTAAGATCTGTGTAATAAAATGGAATGACCCAGGGAAAAAGTATTGAACACGCTTACTGAAATTTATTTAATACTTTGTACAAAATCCTTTGTTGGCAATGACAGCTTCAAGACGCCTCCTGTATGGAGAAACTAGTTGTATGCATTGCTCAGATGTGATTTTGGCCCATTCTTCCACACTAACAGTCTTCAAATCTTGAAGGTTCTGTGGGCCTCTCTTATGAAATCTAATCTTTAGTTCTTTCCATAGATTTTTTATTTGATTAAAGTCAGGTGATTGGCTGGGTCTTTCTAGAGGAACTACAGTACCCACAATGCACCACTCCAACAGAAAATAAAGCCAAATATAGAATAATGCTGCACAGTTCAAAAATCCCTTTAATTCAGGAGTGTTGTTTGGGTTACTGCATTATGATAAGGGAGATTTATTTTTTTGCGTTTTGACCTAGATGTAGCTTTTTTTTATTGGAAAACATTAACGGTTTGCTGATTAACTGAACTAAAAGGTTTTAATTTCAGTAAAACTGGGATTTCAGTAGAAATTGAAGTATAAAAAAACATTCCAGTGTTGTGATAGATTTCGAAAGCACTCCAGAGAGACATGTCAGTGTGCCAATTCCAATCAGTATAGTTGATATATCAAATTGCACAGTGCCATTGTGATGGTGTAATAGCCTCGCTATTGCTATAACATTGTATCTATGTGCCTTTCTAATAAAAACAACTACAGTATAGATTAAAACTCATGGCTACCTGCTCCCATCAACCACAAGTTATGTGTGAATATCATTTTCCAAAAGTGTAGTATTTGACTATGAAATTTAGACAGTGCAAGTGGAATCTTATTAATATCGAAATCACAGCTCAGTAAAAAATCCATCCCACCAAGCTTTCCAAAAATAGCCCTAGGTATGTGAAACCACACAGTGTTGGAACAAGCAAAAAAAAGGTTTTAACCAATTAATTCTAAATGAGCCTATCAAGGCTTCAAAATCGAAGGCTTTTTATACTCTTTAACTATCTGGGACCTTTTTAAATAATGCGCTTTATTTCTCCATAGAAATTGAAAAATGACTGAACTGGCCTTCCTAATATTGCTGTCAGAAATAAAGAGTGACAAGGATATAATAACTTAGACACACCTTCAGCTTTAGATAGAATAACTCTTCCAAATACTGTGAGATCTCTGGTCAGCCAGTGACTCAGAGATTTTTTCATATCAACGACACGTTTCTCAATGTTAACCTGACAATGCAGCATTGTACGGTTTAAAATGTTTAGCTGTGCATAAAGGTGCTGTAATCTCAGTTTATTTAATTTATGCCATTTTGCTAAATTTGACCATATGTCCTATGTCAAAAAAAAACAAAAAAAAAAAACATCCTTTTCCAACAGCGGCCAAAATGATTGACAGGCAGACAGCTTTGATAACTGGCTAAAATGCGCATAGGTTTAGTGCGTTTTATGAAATAATTGAGAATATTTGGTGTAAAATATGCATTATGCCAGCGTTTTTCCGAACATGGCCATAATCTAATTCTAGAAACCCAAGCATGTAACAGTGAGTACGTTTACATGGACAACAATAATCCGATTTTAACACGATTAAGACAATACTCTGATTAAGAATTTACCATGTAAACAGAGATTTTTGATTACCTTAATCCGGCTAAAGTCATATTCGAAGTACACAGAAATCGAATTAAGACGTGGAGTATTCCTATTTTAGTCGTAGACATGTAAACACCTTAATCACATTATTACCATCGTGTAGGACTTTTCGCCGCATTTTGCGACAGGATACACACATGGCAGTGCTCAACCGTTTGACGGCAAACAAAAGAATGGCTTCAACAACGCAGTCATCTGTTTGCATGTATAGCATGACAAATAATTAACTGCACTGGAAGCTTTCAGTAAATTAAAAATGAAACACCCAAAACTGTATATGGCATCATAACGGAGATGAACTATATGTTTATACGTGAAATTCCGGAGGGGACGTCGGATGGCGTCACGTGGGGACGTAATGACGTGCGCCATTAATCAAACTATGTACTATAACATGTAAAACGGGAACATGAAAGGAATATTCTAAAAGAAACTCATGTAAACACCATAATCATAATATTGGCTTATTTAGAATAAGGTCAATAATTAGATTACTGATGTCCATGTAAACGTAGTCACTTACACGCCTTCACCGAACACCAGAGGGCGATATTTTTCAGCGTAGTTCATGTAGCAATAGCATGTGTGGATATTAAACTTCTGAATGTGTGTTTTTCAAGGTAGGTAACGATTTTCAAACATACTGAACATGAAAATGAATACAATGAATAAATGTGTTCGTGTACGTATCTCTGCTGCCTCTACGTGACATGAATCTGATAACTATGCAGCCCTTGAGACTCTGGTCCTTTCTGTCCCCTTTAGACACTCAGTCTGACATCTACAGTAATTAAATGCTAAGATATTTAGCATGACCCAGAAAAGCAGACAAATGACACGATATCATGTAATTTACACTGAAGCACATTCAGTTGTGTAGAAAAAAAAATATACAATTCATTAACTTAAAGTAGGATGCCAATACTGTATGTATGTAGTGGGGCAGTTCTTACCTAATGTAGGCCTACATCATTGCATATAAATACAACTTAAAAAAAAAAAAAAGTAATTCGAAATCATTTTTGACCTAGCTTTTGATTGTATAAATGTGTCGCATACATTAAATGAGATGAGCTCAAAACCTCAAGGACAAAATTAATGACAGGAACTAACAAAGAACATACAGTTCCTCATGACTATTTATCTGTATGCCTTCTTTCTTTCAGTGTTAGTGGTGTCCTTATCTCAAATGATTTATAAGGGTCCTATACGAAAACGATGAAGAAAGAAGAAAATGAAAATTGCTGTGTTCTTCGATCTGTAATTCTAGCTGGTACAGGCAGAAACAAAACAAAAATAGCGTGCTAATAACATGAAGAACCTAATCTTTTGAAAAACATCTCTCTTACCAGATCATGATCAACCTCAGGGAACCTGCTATTTCCAAAGAGGAGAGGTAAACACATTTGTCACAACACATTATCCGAAAAAGTGTCATGGTGACAAATGTAGCTGCACATTTTCACCAAAAATATGGAAATGATTTCTGATTTTCTGTTCCGTGTCCTTTCAGATATTTTGACTATTTCTTATATGCATAAAACGTTTTTAATCGCATAAGAATGGCTTTTCTGCATTCAACTGTCTAAATCAAAAAATTGTGTGTTCCTTTTC